TTCTCCCACAGGGAAGGATGATGCCCAGCAGAAATCAGTAAGTTGTCTCCCCCAGGCAAGCTGATTTTAAGAGCTCAACTGTGTTTCAATATGGGACCAGAGGATTTCCACCTGTAAGGTTTAACATCTCCAGCACTTCCTGAGGTACTGTTCTTCCTCTCCCACTTTACTGTGCACACTCTGCATGGAGAAAGATTCTTCTGGATTAGGCTATAAATCATATTCCCATACCAAGGAGGAGATAAAAATACTGTCTGCACAGGACAGTTTTTTGGGTAGCACTTCTCAGCTCACAAACAGATTTGTATCTGCCAAAGTTGCAGAAGCACTGGCATATCTGGGTCACCTTTGGGCTGTTTCAGAGGGATGGGGACACACAGGTACGCATCTACACAACGCATCTACAAAGCTCTGATCAGTTTTTTTTTTTTTTCATTTCAGGACATGGAGCTTCTTCGGTTTTCACTGGTTCTTATCCAGTCCTGGTTGACTCCAGTGCAATACCTAAGCAAGGTGTTCACAAACAATCTGGTTTTTGGCACCTCAGACAGAGTCTATGAAAAACTAAAGGACCTAGAAGAAGGGATCCAAGCTCTGATGAGGGTAAGTTGCAGCATGTGTCATGATTACTGGGTACTAGAGATCTCCTGGACTCATGGCATGGAGCTTCCAGGGTCTTCCCCAGGACCCAGAGACCATGGAAAGCTCCCCACCTCCACTCTAAAGACCAGACTCTTTGTCTTTGTTTATCTTAATCAAACCATGGCACTCCACTGCACATATTTCTTCATGGGCAACATAAGAAAATACATAACGTCAATAACACTGCTTTAACCACTCAGGTAACAGCACAGACTAGGAAGGTGATCTTCAACATAACTTTAATGACATTTTATGGAAACAAACCCTTTAAGTTTATGTACAGGTGGAAGCTCTTACTTTGATATCTCTCTCTTAAATGAGATTTTCAGGAATACAGCATCTAGACAGCACACAGAAAGAGAATGATCTTCAGAAAGGGCATTCCATTTCCTTTTTTTTGTCTTTTTTAAATGAAATTGCTTATTGCCTACCAGGATCCCCTGTCAGATGAGTTCACTCCATAAGTAAATCTATCTGTCAGCACCACAATGTAGCTAGAGCTCTTGAGAACTTGATCTCTGAGAAATGAGTCCAAAAACTTATTTACAGTTTCAAGTACCTAAACAACCCTGAAAGCCAAGCCCTGACAGAAAAAGGAGATATTCTGCCCTGGTGCTTCAGCTGGAGAAAGGTATCATTTGCATTTCCAGATTTTGGTCTCCATTTGATATGTTCTAGGGTGTTGAAAAGTGGCATAGAGAAACTAAACAAATAATTGTATCATGTCCGTTCAAGCCACTAGTTTAGTTAATCAAAAAGGTGTTGTTTTTACTGTGTCAGATACTGAGCAAAGTGAGGCAGGAGCAGTAGCAAGTTGCAGATCTCTGATCTCCAGATGCACGAAGCTGGGTCTGGGTTAGAGTTTCGTGCACTGGGAAAGTGGGAGAAGAAACAGAGTTATTTGCCCGGTTCCCCATCTCCTTAGCTCAGGTTTGCTATGGGAAAATCCTGAGCATTTCCAAGTTTTGGGAGACCTCAGAAGACACCAGCTGCAGCATGTGGGCCGGCTCACTCTGTGCTGAATCTTTCACATGCATGAAACTGGTTGGATAACCATCCCTGCGCCAGGACCATTCCTGTAAACACATAGCTTACCAGAAAGTAGTTGGATATATGAGGGCCTTAGAGAGAAAAAGAAGCCAAAAAAGGTAAGAAAACAAGGGAAAAACAAAAACAAAAGTTCCTTTAGAGCTATGTGGCAAAAAGAACTTGAAACTGCCCCCAAAACAGTGAAGGGTGGAAGGAATGGTGGACAGGGGAAGCGCCATGCGAGAGATTCCCTGTCTGTCCCCCTCCGGCCTCCTCCATCCCTCCCTCCCCGTCCCTGCTAATGCCCAGCACCTCCTGGCAGGAGCTGGATGACCGGAGCCCTCGTGGGCCGCCGCTCCTCAAATCCACCTACGACAAATTCGACATCCACCTGCGCAATGAGGACGCCCTGCTCAAGAACTACGGGTTGCTCTCCTGCTTCAAGAAGGACCTGCACAAGGTGGAGACCTACCTGAAGGTGATGAAGTGCCGCCGCTTCGGCGAGAGCAACTGCACCTTCTGAGGGGGGAGGCCAAGGGGGGAGACCCCCGTGTTCCAGCATGGGCACTGGTTTGGCCTGAGGAGAATAAAGCCGCTACCCACTGAGCTTGTGTCTGTCTCGCTGTGCCGCCTTCACCACCGCCGCCGCCATGAGACACCCCTTCCCCGCGGAGAGCGGCGGGGGGCGCGGCCGTGCCGTCAGCGAGCGCCCAGACGCTGTTCGTCTGGGGGCTGGAGGCGGTGCCGGGGCTGGAGGTGAGGAGAGACCCCCGGGGCCGCATCCTCCCCGTGGAGGACGTGCTGCGTCCTCCCCTGTGGCGCCATTTTCTCCCAGTGCGCCGATAAGATTTCATTGTTTTCAGTTTTTTGTTATTATTTCATGGTTTCTTTGGGCCCAGCGTGGCCCCAAGGGGTAGCAGGGGACACCCAGTCCTGCTTTTAACCCCATCCCCAGTGTCTGGGTCCAGTGAAATGCTCAAGGAGCAGGAATAAAGTCAGTCTATCTGTGTCAAGAGAGCTGGTCTGAAGCCAAGCAGTGGGTGAGACGGTCTGGGATGAGGATAATTCTGGGGACAGAAGACCCAATGTCCTGTCTTTCACCACAACTGAGAGGCAGGATAATATTGGGAATGAGATACTGGCAGGGTGAGGGGTTTGGATGTACTTTTGTGGGGAGAAAAGATGTTATCTGCCTGATACTCATATCTGGTCCCCCTGATTATTCCAGGGATTGCTGCTGCTGTACAGTAAGAACAGCACCAAAACATTGCTTGTTTTCTAAGTAATCAGGTCTTGGGAGTTGTCCTGTTCCTGCTGCTCATACCCCGGAGCAGCTGCAGGTGATCCTCAAAAGACCCGTGTTTCCCTTGCTTTTCCTCAGCACTCCCTGTTTTCAGCATTTTCCAAGTTTGGGCCGCTCTACTCGGTGCGCACGCACAGAAACGCTGCCGTGGCAGGGCCTGGTTATTACGCTGTGCTGAAGTTTTATTCCTCCAGAGCTGCCCACAGAGCCCAGCGCGCGTGCAACGGGCAAAGGCTCTTCCAGAAATCTCCCTTGAAGGTCAGTGAAGTGGCAACGGGTATGAAACCTCCTCTCTCCCGGAGCCACCAGTGGTGTGTCCGCAGTGGGAACCCGGGAAGCAAAGCCTGGATAACCAGGGTTCTTCTCTCCCTAACAGGTCTGTGTTTGCACCAAGCAGAGAGCATTCCAGATGCCGGTGCTGGCTCTCAACAGCAACAAATGCCAAGAACTGGCCAACCACTACCTTGGCTTTAACGGCTGGTCCAGTCGCATCATCACAGTAAGGGGCCTTTTCTGTCCATCCGTTGTTCCTCCCTTCTCTCATCCCATGTTCTAAATGCGAGCAGTTGGTGGAATGAACAGAACTGTCCTCAAATCATTGTCGCTAAGAAAGACAGCCACAGGAGCAGCGTTTTGGACCACAAGTGAGGATGCTCTGAAAGCCCAGGGACAGGAGAGGGTTGTGGGCAAGGGCACGGGCTGGGTTTCTGTTCATACAAATGGGGCAGGTCTAATGTGGCTGTGTTTAAAGCAGTGCCAGAACCTGACAATAGTCTTCATGTGCTGAGAGTGTTTGAAATGACTAAGATGGGGTTCAGGGACGCCAAGATGTTTCTGCATGAGAGTCAAAACAGTGAACATCCCTGCTGTGTCTCTGTAGTGTGTTATTGGCCAAGAATCACACACTGTGCAGAGAAGATCTGCACTATGCATAGACCTAGGTGCTCACTATATCCTTTTTCTATTTAATTGTCCTATTTAATCATAATTATTTTGTGGTCTTCCCAACAGCTGCAGAATGTTTCTGGCTTTGATAATGAGAATGAGGAGATGGGAAAGACCTTACAGAAGCGATCCCTTAAATACCTGTGTGCTGTGGAAGTGACAATTCCCACCCACGGGGTACGCAGCAGGGGAGTTGGCCTCGCTGAGGCTGACATAGAAAATGGTGAAGGTAGGCTGGCTCTCCTTGCATTTTGGGAATCTGATGTAATATCTCTATTTAACTGGAGACAGGAATGTGCAAGGGCCTTTTGAGCTGCTGTGCTCTACAGCAAGGCATCCTAAGTGTGCCTGTTTCCTCTCTATGTCGCACCACTGCTTTCTCTTACCTGTAGAATTATTCATTTCCCATTACAGCTGCCTTTGATGTGAGCATGCTGTGCAATTCCCAAGAGATCCTGAGCTTGTGGCACAGCTCAGATGCCTGCTGGGTCATCTCCCCTGCCTGGTGCCTTGGGCAGGGTGTTGTTGTAGGGCTGAGGATGTGCTGCTTTGCCTGGATTGGCACACAGAGCCCTTGTTAGGACACTGCCAATTACTTACAAAGCATAAGCAGCTTTCTCATCAGATCCATATCACTGTGTTTGGTTCCCAGAGGAATTTCACATATGTTTTGTAGCACGAGTGAGTTTGTTTGCTTTCATATGCAGAGTGTCATCCTAACATCAATAACCTGTGGCTCCTTTGGTTTAGATCCTCTTGAGTTTGTCACAGCCACAAGAAGAGTTCAGAAACTTGCAGCTGGGAAAGCTTTATCCAGCGCTTTTCAGAAGATACTCCTCGTGGTTTTAGGTAAGACTTGCTTTTGTGTTAAGTACTAGGGTGCTTGGGCTGATGACTTTATAACTTTCATGAAAATGAATGTGAGTTCATTTTCCCAGAACCTTGCTTAGGATTCAGTGGAGTTTGGGGGTCTCAGTGGTGGTATGCAGTGATTTAATGGAGTGGTCCCGCCACATGAGCTGTGTGAGTGAAAGGAAACAAACTGATCTTTCATTTGTGAAATGCTTAATAGCATTGTAGATGCATATGCTGAATACAGAGGTGAACACATTCCAGGGGCAGCATTACCCAACCCACAGCACGTTGCCTGTTCCTGTCTGATTCCTGGCCAGGCAGCGCTCACAGTCCGTGCCTCGCTGTTGTACACAGTGTTCTGCCTTAGGGGCTAATATCAGTACAGTTTGTAATATAGAAACTGGCTCTGTGTCTAGAAACAGCCCTCTCTGCTTTCTGTGGGATCTAGGTGCTGTGCTCTCTGAGCTCTTAGATGACTCCTTTTTATGTAATATCTGAGTACTCCAGCCTGTTATGTATTTATCTCGTCAGGACATACCCTCATGTGGTCACCTCAATGTTGCTCTCCTTAATTTAACACAGTGGAGCCCTTCCCAGTAAGGGACTTCATGCTGAGTCACTGGTAGAGCAGGAACCTGCTCTGTTGAATCCAGCAGGATTTAAATACCTGTCAGATTCTTCCCATGGATTCTTTGAGACATCCTTTAGAAAGATGCATCTCTGGACTCGGATGTTTTGCAGTGCTGCCTGCCTTCTCACCCACTGCATAACAGAGACCAACAATTATCATGCTGCTGCTTCATCTATTCTGCTTCTTCACTTTAAATTTCCTTTTCATTTAGTCACAGCCTTTTGATTTCCTGCAGAGAAGACAGGCACGTAGGCCTGAGAAAAAGGCAACTCTGCAGATTCGCAGCAGGCCGTTTAAGTTGTGCTGTACAGTAACTACCACTTTTCTCCTCCATGCCTCATAATTAACATCACAAACCCTTCACTTTCTTCCTTACTGGGTGCTTTCAGAACTGTAACAGTCCTTGTAGTGATACAGCCTAACCCTGCTCCTGTCAGAGCTTGCTTGACAGTAGAAGCAAGATCTGCCCCTCTGTTTCTGTACCCAACCATGACAGGAGTCATGAGCTCTGTCCACATCCATAGTGACACTGCAGGCAGGAAGCACTGCCCAAACCAGTACGGGAAGTTTAGTGTTTCACAGTAAAATGTTTGTATTATGTAAGAGAACAAATCACCTAGAGCCCATGGTCTGTTATGGGAGAATAAAATGGCCCTATTCTATCAACAGTCATTCTGAACAATGAGCAGATTCATTCTGTTTAGTCACACCCTGAGAAGGGGTTTGAGTTGTATTTGTTCTTTTTATACCCCGTTGTGTCTCTGGCTGTTCATTCTGTGTGTTTGACTCAGACACCGGTAAAGTGGCTGTGGAGTACAACTGCACCCAAGAGGAGCCCACAGACTCTTTAACAGAAGAGGAACTGAAGGGGCTTATTCAGGTAAACCCAGGGGGCATTTAGCTTTGTATGACAGCTGTGTGAGACATCTAGAGAGGAGGGATATGGTGGTTTTTACTATTATATCCTCAGAAATTCTCTTTTTGTGCCATGACCTAAACTTGAAATCCAGAAAGTAATCGCATCTTGGAATTCTACAGCACACTAAGGTTTTAGGATTCTTAACTTCTTGGGTATCTTTGTGCAGAGTTGTGTGTATATTTAAATAGCACAGGAAAATGAGCAGTTGGATGATGTGAGCTGACAGGTCCTGCACATGACAATGTCCAGGCCTGCTTTCTCATAGAATGCGAGAGAGTGAAAATCCCAACAAAGTTAGAGTAATCTAAAGCAAATTATTTCTAATAAATTCTTAAATAAATGAAACTCTTCATCAGAAAAGAATTTCACAAATTCATTCTGGAGTACTGTGTGCAGTTCTGGGCTCCCCAGTACAAGAAGGACATTGAGCTTCTAGAGAGGGTCCAGCGTAGCATCACAAAGATGATGAAGGGACTGGAGCATTTATTGTATGGGGAAAGACTAAGCGAGCTGGGCCTGTTTAGTCTGGAGAAGGCTGAGGAGACTTGATCAACATGTTCAAGAACCTGAGGGATGAATATAGGGAGGATGGGGCCAGGCTCTTCTCCGTGGTGGCCGGTGACAGGATGAGGGGTAATGGGTGAAAGTTGAAACCCAGAAAGTTCCACCTCCATGTGAGGAAGAACTTCTTTACTGTGAGGGTGACAGAGCCCTGGAACGGGCTGCTCAGAGAGGCTGTGGAATCTCCTTCTCTGGAGATCTTCAAACCGGCCTGAATGCGACCGGGTGCCCTCCGCTCTGGGTGTCCCTGCTGGAGCAGGGGCTTAGATTGGATGATCTCTAGAGGTCCCTTCCAACCTCAACCATTCTGTGACTCTGTGATTCTTACCTCAGAGGGAATGCTTGTTAAGAGGCTGTGTGAAATCCCTGCAGTTAATCATGGGATCTGTTAGCAGGCAAAGAACAAACATATCCAGGTGCAATAATAAAACTTATCATCCTGCTCAACGAGCTAGAGTTCTGCCTTTGCGCACACCAAGTCCTGAGTGGGGGATTTTCATCTTGCTTAGTTTGACAGCAGTTATTTACCAGGAAAGGTCACTGATACAGTGCTCTTCTGAAAGCAAGCATCAGCCTCACATGATGTGTCAGCAATGTGCGGTACAGTGTCCAACTCCTGCAATTTGCATTAAGGAAATGTCTAATGAACCTTGTGACACATTACCCCATTTCATGACATTGAGTCACCTGGTATCTGCGGACAGAGCTATCTTCCTTTCTTGCGGCAAAGTAACCCTAAAACGTGAGGTATTTTTGTGTGTGAAGTAACTAATATCCATCAGAAGTATCAGTAACGAGGAAGAAATTTCTGCTGTTTTGTGCTCTGTGCATTTTCTTCTGCCCCTTTTAACTACTTTTATTTGAACACACAGGGAAGTGACCTAATATTAAATGGCCATTAGAGAAGCGTGCAGCAAAGTGAGGCAGGAAACCTGCTGCTTCTCAAACCTCCATTTACCAGAAGCCACCCCTCACTTCCCCTGCAGTCTCGCCTTCCTGGGGATGGTGCCTGGGAGTGATCTGGTGTTGTCTTCTCAAGGCATGTACCAGCCCCATGCAAATAGCTAACACAGGAATTCAGAACAACTTGAATGGCAGGAGAACTGCGGGGTGCCCTTTCGGTTCATTGCCTTGTGATTTTGGTCAGTCATTCTGAAATAGAAATGTTCCTGAGTTTGTAGATTCCTGTTCCTGATTTGTACAGACGCTGTCTCTTGCACATGGTAACAAATACATTTTGTTTCAAGATGCAGAGGAAGTTAGAATATGTGGTACAGAAACTAATTCAATCTTCATTTTTCTTCTCAGGTCAATGAATTGTCCTTGGTCTTGGACCAGACTGACTTTGAAGAAGTTTTGTCTGATCTCAGCTTTGATGATAACCTCCCTCAACAGGAGGCACTGTCTAATTAGTGCAGCCCAGTCTTCAGCTATTTTGCAAAGTGCTGCAGTATCTGATTGAGATTGAAAGTCTAAAGCTGTGAAATGACATGTGCCTCTTATCCAACACTTTCTCCAAATATGTAATGGTGAAAGAAATGGGCAATAAACCTAGTGTTACTAAAATTAAGACCCAAAATGTATACTGTTTTTGGAGAACAAAGCGTTTTCCTGTCAACTTATCCAGGTCAGCTATATATGGAAGTGAGCTTGGCTGCATGATTATTATTTAGACAGCATACCAGATGTGTATAGCACTTAAAAATAAAACAAATGGGTCCTTCCTGGTATTGCTACAGTACAGGTTAGATCTGATCCACAAGAGAGCGACAGAGACAGTAGAAAGAGCTTCTGCCAGCAGGAGTAGCTGTAGGCCTTAGCCATGTGTGCCGAGACGCGGGGAAAAAAAACGGACTGCTCTAGGTGAAATTTCTCTTAAAGAGATAAGCCTAAGCTGAGCCGTCGAACCAAGGAGCTGGGACATTTTTGTGATGTAAAGCAAAGGTTCTTTTTCAAGCTGTGAACATATGTTTTTCTTTAAATCAAGTGAAATTGTATTTTGTAGCTCTCTGTGTAGTAAATGAACCTCAGAGTCAGGATCTTCAGTGGAATGGTACGCCAAGGTCTACAAATCAGGTGAGTGTTGAGGGATATAATTATGGTTTGGTTATAAGTCTCTGCTCAGATCTTTTTACTTCTGCGATTAGAATTAGGTGGTTGAGATGTGGGAGACCCTAGGGAAAATGCGCACTGCTTGGCAAGATTTTTAGTCAGGAAGGCGCAAAGATGAAATGAGATCCAGAGGCTGGTAGCCAAGGTCAGAAGAGGAGTTACAAGAGGAGTGACATACGGTGCTTTCTGGGTGGAAATAACCAAGTGCTAGAACAAACGTCCGGTGGCTGCGGTAGATCCTTCACCAGATCCTCCACCCCATGCTCCGAGTGCTCCTCCTGCTTGGAAAACAAAACACTGCAGCATGGCTACGAGCTACCAAGCTGCCCCCTTGGTTGGAAAGACCAGGGGGCTGGTGTGAAGTTAGAGCCTGGCATCTCCCTGCCACCTGTCCACGTTGAGGAGCCCATGAGGAGCCCCAGGCCACGTTGAGGCCCAGCTGGCACAAGGAGCTGGCAGGAATAGGCCGCCTCCATCCAACCATCCATTTGCAGAGCAACTGTGCTTGCCTGGAGCTGTGGGGTCAGGATCCCATCCTCCATGTCGACTACACATCAAATTTAGGGTTTTTAAAGAGGAAGAAGCATTGTGATCTGCGGGACAGGGCAGGGGAGGCCGGCAGGGCCTACCTGTTGCCTCCAGGCCTGTGGCACCTGCAGCCTGGCAACGCCGCCCGCCCCTCGGGCGCCATGGGCCTGGCCCGGCCCTCCCAGCCCCTCGTCCTCCTGGTGCTGACAGTGGCAGCAGGGGCAGCCGGCCCCCTCCCCGGCAGGGCCGCAGCCCTGCCCTGCCACTGCCAGGAGCTGCTGCTCAACTGCAGCCATACCGCCCTGGTCAGCGTCCCCCAGGCCACCCGCAGCCTGGTCCTCTCCGTACTGTGAGTACTGCCCGCCGCCATGGCGGGGTTGTCCCCGCTCTGGGGACCGGCCTTCTCCGCGGCTTGGCCTCAACCCACCTCCCCGTACCAAATGGCTGCCAGGAGCCACAGGCCAGGGTAGCATCATCCACATCCTCCGCTGGTGCTCGTGGCCTGAACCCTCCTCAGCTTTTAACTCCGAGTGAGCGCTGCCTGGTTAAACCAGTTTTGCTCTGTTTTCACCACCAAATTTGCAGGGAAACTTTTTTTTCTGAGAGTGCTCTTCAGGGTCTACTCCTCCAGGATGCCTCTTCTTCCTGAGGAAATGATGGGATTTGTGGGATCCAGAAGAGGACATTGTCTGCAACTTGCAGATGCTTGATTAAAATCCCTGGGTATTTTGCTATGGGGAATGAGCAGCTGAGGCACCAAGAAATATTGAACATGGGGAGTTCATTTTGCAAGCAGTCTTTTCTGCAGAGCTTTTACACGATGATTACAATGTGCCAATCTTTTCTTTGCAGAGATTTCACTGGCAACACTATTTCTTCCATCGACACACCGGTGTGGAGGGAATACCTGTGGGCTGAGTACCTGTGAGTATTCCCTAGCATTTGAAACGTAGGGAGTTTGGATATTTTCCATTCCTCTGGTCTGGCTTTTGAGCCAATGGCATGACAAACACCAACATCCACAGAAACCATTTTCATGTGAATTCGAACCCGAGATGCTCAGCAAGGAGGGATGTGAATTCCCTGTGCTTCCCTGGACAACAAGAGATGTTGTGAGCTGTGGCGCTTGTGGGAAAGGTGGTTCCAATCCTATGGGACCATTCCCAAGCTTCTTTGATCAATGATGAGACTGCGCTGAGCTGCAGCAACACAGGGATAAGTGTCTAGTCTGGAGGTCACATTGGTCCTTGCAGTGATTCAAGGAAACAAAGAACTGTTTTAGTAAAGTTATTGCAGAATATATCCCTCCGAAAACCTGTTCCTCACTGTAGAGCGGTAGGTGCCTGTTTTGTCTCCTTGCAGAGTTCTCCAGGACAACGCTCTGAAGTCGGTGGGGAGGCACTCGCTGGAGGGCTTGCTGCTGCTGAAGCACCTGTACGTACCAGTCGTGTCCCTGCCTTGAGAGCCGAGGAAGGCCCAGAGCAGCCTGTTGCCATGTGCTGTACGCTGGGAGAAGCGTGGTGCCAGCCCTGCCTTTGGGCCCCTGCTGTTCTACCCATCCCCACAGAAATTTGCCTTATTCTTCCCCTATTCCAGGCTATGTGCCCTGCAAAACAGGGATCTTGGTGCTGAGCATTTCTGTTGCAATAGGGCACAGTGGGAGGATCCTTATGGTGAAAACATGGTACATGCAGGGTAACTTGCAATCCACCCCTCATTGGTGACCATTTTTGGGATAGTCTCTCTGGTTGTTTATTATCTTCCTTAAATTCTGCTGGCAGCCAAAGAGAAACAGTGTAGCCTATAGTGTAGCCTATGGTGTCTCTTCCAATGTCAAAATCTCAGACAGATTGAAACTGGGAGGTCCTTTCTCCAGCCTCCTGTTCAGAGCAGGGCTAACTTCAAAGCCAAGTTGCTCAGGGCTGTATCCAATTGAATCCCTCCCCTTCTTGGAGGAAAAACAAATGTGCACCTGTGCCTGCACAATCTCACATGAGACTGTAACAAGTCCTCTGCCTCTGTGTTTGCAAGGAAGCAAAGGAGCATTCAGGTTTTTCTTCTCTTCAAAGCTCATCTTTCCACGTATCTTGGGTTTTCCTGTGAAGTAAAAGACAGCAACACAAAGGAAGTGTGAAAAAAGAATAGCAAAATCTTGTCCGATTCTCTTTCTTCGGCTCAGCTGCTATCAGACTGTCTTTTCTCATTCCGTGACTACTGAAAAAAAAAGCATAAGAGACCAAAATAAACCCTCCTGTGAAAGCTCAGGTTGTTAGTGCCCAGAGCCCAGGTTATCTGAGTCTTGCTAGATGCATGAGTGCATTCTTCTAGCAACAGAAACTTCTCATCAGGGAAAAAAATATCACTCGTGGAAAAAAAAATGACAGCAAGGGAAGCCCTGGTTGGAGCTGACCCACAAACATTTGTACAATGTAATTTATTGGGTGTGCCCCTTGTGTGTTTGCATTTTTCCCAGAAAAGGGGAATTTGTGTTTTCTAGGATTCATATTGGCTTGGAGGGAGCCAAGTCCGGGGCTGCCTTGGCTTGTTGAGCAGATACAAGCGGCCTAGGTGTTGGGAAAAAAAGATCCAGGAATCAAAAAGCAGAAAGGCTGATCTGCAGGATGTGGTTTATAGGCTAAATGAGTTGAGTTTGGAGCAGGTCTGCAGGTCTGAAGGAACCATCTCCAAAGTACGTCCAAGTGCTCGTGCACAAACCTTCCTCTCACTGCCCCTTTGCCCAGCTGCCAAACGCTGCCGGGAGCTGCCTCCATGGGAGGTCCAGATCCCATGGCTGGAGCTGCAGCGGCTTCCTGTAGGGAAGGCAGCTCCTACCAAAGAAACCTTGTGCATTTGTCATGTCTAATTTTAGCCACCTAATGATTGCCTAGGATTAAGCTAATTGTTCAGACTCTCTTTATTCTCCGTGGAAAGCAACAGGCACTTCCCATTCACCCAAGCCATCTTAGGAACCTCTCTGAGGAGAGGATGAATCACACTCCAAAAATACTTCTCTCTCACTGGCGACTGCAGAACAAGCCCAGGCAGCAATCTGGGCTCAGAGCATGAACCTCTTGATTTCCAAAGCGAGCCAGGTGAATCTGCCGTGGCAGAGCCTTTACACACATCTCGCAGCAGAGCTGTGATGGAAAGTGGAGTTTAGGTTATCCCTGCAGGTCTTTATTTTGCTGCTTCCAAATGGTGTGTCTTTAGACTAAGCGCTTCCCAGAATATTATGTAGGAGGGGAGTGATAAAGAGAAAAATAATCATTTTTTAGCACACATGAAGTTACCAACGTGTTCCTGAGCCCTGCAGCTACAGAGCTGTTGTTGAGGCTTTTCTGGCTGATTTAGCAAGCAAAGCACAGATGATCCCAGGGGCAAGGATCTCTGTGGCACATCCCGAGGGTGACACGTTGGTGTGTCCATGCAGATGCTTCCTCAGCTGCTGCACGGTGCTTCTCGAGAGGAATCGTTCTGTTTCCATAGAGGCAAATCAATCCCTGAAATAATTCTAATGGGATCAGAGCTAGGAAAACATCATGGAGATGAAAGCAACCTCCGGTCATGAGGGTTATCACAGGTTATTCACCGGTGGAATCTAATATCAAATATAAACACTGCATGAAATCAGAGCCATGTAACACATGTACCGCCAGGCTTGAAGCAAGGGAAAGTAAACATGACAGTGCAAATGCAATTAACATTTCACGTTCTAATTTTAACAGAGATTTATCCTGCAATAAAATCCTGTCAATTGAGGAACACGCTTTTGAGCCACTTCCTTTTCTGCAGCTTATGTGAGTTACAAAAACATCTTTCTAATGTATTTACAGAAGTCTGTTTACATTTACAACCCCTTTTGCGCTAGAAACTGTTCCCGTTATTTTTAGAACGGTGACTGCATTTCTATGGCTAACAGACTAACTGAGACAGAGCTGAAGAGATCACTGCGGATGGCTGGGTGACCCACAACAGGATGAGAAATAGTGTGGTTGTCCAAACGCAGCCATAATAGAAGCCATTTCTTGAAAGTTTACCATATCCTGAAACAGAAATAGATTAAGCACATGTGCACTTCATTTCCTCTCCTTGACAGGTTAAGCAAATGAGAAAGTGGGAGAGTTTCCTCCCTATTCTACCTTGGATTTGCATATTTCCTACAAATCAATATTGCTCAGCAGCAGCTTCCTCCTGGACAGAGTGGATTCATCACTGCAATCTTCTTTTTTCCCAGAAACCTTGGTGGGAATCTCATCACGCAGATCCGGAACGGCACATTCCAGGCCTGGCATGGGATGCAGTTTTTACAGAAGCTGTAAGTTTGGCGAGATCTAAAGATGGATCAGAGTGTCGGGGAGCACGGGAGCAGAATTGCTTTGGTCGTAGGCTGCTGTTGGTTGCACGAGGACCCGCAGGCTGCCAGACGGCAAGGCCAGCATGAAGCGCCAGGCATCACAGACCCCCTAAACTTTTCAAAAGCAGGTGCAAACCCCTCTGTAAAGAACTGGATTCTACTTTATAGGTCATCTAGGGGCTGCCAGGAGCCTGCAGGGGTGTGAGGCGGGGCTAGGATGTGCCAGGGAGGATGAGGGAGGGCAGGAGGAAGCTGGAGGTTGAAGGTGGGTAGGCTGCTTCGGTACGCTTTAGGAAAAAAAAAATATGATTTTACCCAGATAGAGGCTTTTGTGGAAGATACTTGTTTTCCTCAGAAGTTTCACCTTTTCAACAGAAGTCCCCCGCCCAAACCAAGTAAACCTGTTTGGCAAAAGCCCATCAAAAATTTGCAGCATAATTTGAGGCAAAATTATGCCAAAAAAAATCACTTTGTGTACTTGCATTTAAAAGGCAAAATGGCTCGAAAATATACATCAAAAGAAAACCTTGTTCTTCAGGACACGAGCTTCTAAGAAAGCATGTCCTAGTCCATACATACTTTTACCAAGAAGCTTCCAAGGAAAGGATGACTATTTCAGTCTGTATCTGAAGCAAGTGAGAAGGAAGGGCATTTTGCCCACTAAGGGTTCATATACATAGGGAAAAGTCCACAGGTTCCCTGCTCTCCCAAGGACTACATCTCTTGTGCAGCAGACAAGGTGGTAGAAGAAGGGATGGATGACAGTTCTCACAGAACTTGACCACAGCTTTGCCTGGCTGGGTGTAGTCATAGTAAAATTTATGAACTCTGGAAAAGTAAGAAAATATGGAAAGTTCAGAGCCCAAAATAACACCAAAATCCTGGTCAAAGGAACCAAAGGGAAGGTGTGAGCTGAAGAGGAGAGAAAGCAATGTTGTATTTTCCGAAAGACCTACTTCTGGGCTTTTGCTCTTTTAGCTGGAGATAATCGGGACCTGATGTATTTGGTGAATCAGCCCATCAGCATCTGTTCCTGCCTCTGGCCTTCATCCCAGAGCCTTCTTCACATGCATAGCACTGAGCCAAAGTTTTATCTCCAGGCTGAAATTTCCTCTGTTTGTTCTCCACTTGAAAGGAAATTCTTTGGGGAGGTTTGAGTAAAAATTGTTCAGCCAAATCCACATCTGCCATCCATAAAAGTGGGCTGGATCCTTATCAGCAGTGCAGCCTCTTTACACCACTCACGTAGTATAGAGGAGCCTCGAAAGGGGATTTCAGTGTAATTCCACATGAGTTCCAACTCTCTTTGGGCCTCTCTGATATTTAAAGGCTGCACATCTGAAGTCTGGCAAAGAGAAAACCCCTTGATCACCCAAGTGCTTTGCAGTGATCTGGTGGAAACCTGCATTGATTTAGCTGTGTTTATAGGGATTGGGAAGCACTGGGGCTTTTACTCTTTAGTTAAGTATATTAGCCATCTCCTCCTGCCGCGGTGCCTGCTACGCAGGGCCAGCCCATTGCAGCTTTCAGGCATCTGGATCTACAGGTATAAGGGGAGACACATCTGTGTCCCTACTCGCAGCACTCGTCCTCGCCAGGACAGCGGTCACAGTCGCCTGGTGCCATCTGCCCTGCGGTGTCCCCATTCCCTGCCTTGCAGCAGTACCCGGTGCCCTGAGCTCCCCCAGCTCCTCGAGTGAAGCTCTGGCTCCAGCGCCCAGGGAGGATGAGCGGCAGATGCTGCAAACCAAGGGGGAGACGTGACCCCTCCTGGCAGTATGGGGACAGAGGCCATCCTTCCCTCCTGGTCCACCTTACTCCTTCACCATCGCTGTCCCAAAGGGAGGCCCTGCAGGGACACAATGCTCTGGACCGGCCAGACTCTATGTTGTTGCTTCTCCTAGAATGCAGCAATCGTGACCCACGTGTAAGCCAAAAGTGAGGCTGAGGCTTTTACAGCTGTGGGCTACCGCTAGCTCCAGAGTCTCCCTCAGCACCAGAAACAGTGGTCTGAGTGTTAGAAGCTTTTCACTTCTCCCTGTCCTCACTAACCTCAGCATCACCTTCATTCTCAAGCAAAAACACATGGGGAAAAGGTTACAAAAAAAGAAAGCCAAAGGCAGGGCCCTTCCCTTCACTCAGTCATAGTGACCTTTTTGGTTTTTTACAGGATCCTAAGCCATAACCCCCTGTCTGTTATTGACGACACATCATTCTTTGACCTGCCTGCAGTCAAATACCTGTGAGTATTGACTTGTCCTGACCAGTTTAATGGGGTCGTGACCCCACTGCCCTGCACTCAGGGCCGGTGATCCCGGCATCCACGATGGTTTGTGGCACCCAGGATGGTTTGTGGCACCAATGATGGTTTGTGGTACCCACGATGGTTTGCGGCACCCGGGATGGTTTGTGGCACCAATGATGGTTTGTGGTACCCACGATGGTTTGCGGCACCCGGGATGGTTTGCAGCACCTGAGATGGTCTGTGGCACCCAGAATGGTTTGTGGCACCCAGAATGGTTTGTGGCACTCACGATGGTTTGCAGCACCCGGGATGGTTTGCAGCATCCCACAGCTCTTAGGGGAGCTCCGCAGGGACAGAGACCTCAGTGCTTTTGGCAGAGGGCCTTTCTGCTTGCAGCTTTGCTTTCGCCCAGGCCCCTTTTGCCTCTGTTCCATGCGTTTCCTCTTTGCACGAGTCTCATCTGCGCAGGTTGCTGAGCGCTGGCAGGGGACAGCTCTCTTACTCTCCCTGCGTGGTTGCACCATGAACACCCACAGCTCCGTGGCTGCTGGGCAGAGCAGGATTTTTATCACTTGGCTCTGCGGATGAACTCCAAAAGTCCCATCCTGATCATACAGTCCATCTGTACACCCAAAATACGGTGAAGTCTCTCTTGATACTGTGACATTTGAAAGGTTAGTCCTGTCACGTTTCTGTCTCCAGCCCTAGACAGTGGGATCACATCATGGGGATCAAACACAAGAACCAGGGAGTCACCTATGGTCCCACAGGGAGGCTGTGGCAGGGCAGGCAATTGAGCACAGGCCTCAGTGAGATCCAATCTGCAGCTCTCCATCCACCACATGCTGCTCTGTGCTAGAAATAACCTATTTTCAGGACTGTTTTCATTGCTGTAATCATTTGCAGAATACTTTAAACTATGAGGTCTTCTCACTGGCCTTTTAAATATATGTTCCACTCATAGGTCCATCTGCATCTCTTCCTCCCTGTCACAGGCATTTCCACTCGAGCTCCTTCCCAGTAGACCTTCTGCCCCTGTCTGAGGAACATGTATTTTTATTTATGGGGTGAAAAAAGCCCTGCTTTGTTCTTCAGGGGATTTTTTAAAGATTATTTTCCACATGAACATGCTCACCTGTTCTTCATGGTTTACTCCAGTTTGCTGATTGAAAGACTCTACTTTGTATCTACGTGTATCATCAGCCAGGCAAAATATCCTCCTGGGCTGGACAAGAAGTGTCTCCCTTTGACCACAAGTGAGGGCTGGGGCTGCTCTCACAACAGCGCCAGAAAAGGGTTTTGAGCTGGGGATTCTCTTCTGTCCACATCAGCCTCCCATGAGAGCAGCAGGATCCCTTTTTCCTTTAAACCCCATGGTTAGGAACAGACATAAGGTGAGAGGGTTTGGAATTATTGGTGCGACTGCTTAGGCTGCAGTGGAGCCTCTGTGAATGACACCACCATGATCAGGGATCCGGGCTCATTCTCCCAGCAGAGTTCCAGTAATGTGGCCTGAAAAATTAACTTGATTTTGCAAATCCTTTCAGAGACCTGGGTGCAACACAAGTGACTCTGCAGACCTTTCACACCCTCCTCTTGACAACAGCTCACTTGGAAACGCTGTGAGTATGCGGGGTCTTGGTCCCAGCTGCCTACAAATCACTGCTGAAACAAGGGGTCTGCATGGGAAACAAATCAGCTTGCTGCCACGTCAGAATAACCCCAGTGAGCCCAAGTTTTGCCCACCTGGAGCTGTTCATTTTTCCCTACTATCCATCAGCGTATTACAAAAGTCTGATCAAGGCCCCTGAGCGACAGCACTGAACAGAGGGTCTCAGGTCTGTGACTGGGCTCTTAGGTATAATTACAGCTCAGACAAATACAAATCATAAGAAGAAAAAGCTATTTAGTTTTGATACCCCCAAACTCACCTGCTAAGAAACAGAACTTCCCCATTTATGTGATGTGTTCCAGGTTTTTGTAGGGAAGTCTTAAATCAAGTGAGGGTGTGCTTTTCTGTTTCAAGTTGCCTTTGGGGATTGGTTCTATTTTTGAAAGTAAAATCAACATTTTGATGCGACTGGAGAAAACTGTTTTCTGTTTGAAACTTCTCTTAGAAATCTGGAGCATATTTTTGTCCATCAGAATTTTCACTGGGGGGGAAATAAATTTTCCAGAGCTGTAGAAGATATCCAAGCACAACTGGAATGCATTATCTCTGTGTGTTACCTGAGTCGGACCCACAGACGTGGATTGAGATGCTGGGGTTTTGTCCAGTAACCTCTTGTCTTTAGCAAACTCCCCAGTGATCTGGCCTGCTGCCTCTGTGCGACGAAAGACACTATTGAGACCCTGTGCAGGACCGTCAAGCTGCGCTGTGAGAATTTATGCCCCGCCAACGCTCCCCAGTGCGGTAGGTTTGCTCTCCATGGAAGACCCTGTCAATGCAGCTTTCTAAAATTTGCTCTAGCTGTAAGAGAGGAGGGGTCTTTTGAGGGTTACCAGACAAAGCTGGCAGTCTCAGTGAAGTCAGTCCAGGCTGGTGGCTCCCATCCAGTCCCAGAGATGTCAAATGCAGGCAGACTCAGCACTGCTCATTGAATAGGTGCAAAAACTTCATCCGGGTGAGACCTGTAAATTGGCCTCAAGGCCAGTGCAGGCAGCTCAGCTGAGACCTGGGAGGCCTCTGAGCCACAGGCTTCAACCACATGACTTGGAAAAAACAAGGGTTGAAAAGTTACTAGTGATTACCCCTATCTTTAGTGTCAAATAGTATCTTGAGCAGAAATAGCGAGCTGAGCTAAACAAACACAAGAGCTTCCAATGCACACAGCACATCCAGCCAAGCAAATCATGTGTGCCAGCATTCCCAGGCGCTGGAAGGCAACATCTGCTCATGAACCCTTCAAATTTTCCTTGATATCTTTCTCACCTGTTCCAGTGGCACCATACCCTGGCCAGTCACAACTCAGCAGTGAGAACAACCCCACATACAGCAGGGACATGGCAAGAGGGTCCTGTAATGCTCCTATGATCCATTAGTCTAGGGAGTCTGATTTCATTTTGAGTCCAGCAAAAACGTGTTCCTAAAGCCACTTGCAGCCAGATCATCAAAGATATTTTGGTGTCTGATTTCCTATCATTTGAAGAGCAGATAAAGCCTGAATACCTCTGTAATCTGTAAATATTCTTGAATGTGTCACCCTGCCTCTGACACTAGCCTATCTTCAAAGTGGGATTAGAGATAAGGCTGTGTTTGCAGCCGTGGTGTAGGACTCCTGGATCCTGCTTATTCCAACTGCAGCCTCAGCACGTTCCCTTCACATAGCAGGGCAAAAGCTCTCCTGGGCTATTGCCATCGCTCTGGGTCAAATGTCCGCTTTTTTCCACTTCCCGTAGGCCGGGGTGAGGGCACCTCCATCCATCAGCAGAGAATCAGCACTTTTTTATCACATGCTCACTCTACCACTGCTCTTGGGAGTTGGGCAACAACACAGAGGCTTTTTAATGTGAAGTATCCCAGGTTTAATTAACTGCAAGGAGAAGAGTTAGTTGGGACAACTGAGCAGGGACAAACATTTTGTCTTCAGGTACTTTGCTTTCCAGGCTCTCTCCCAGTTTTAAACTTTCTGGCATTATTTTATCAGCTCAACACTGACTCGTGTTAAGCTGTGGAAAATTCGCCCACAGAAAACCCCCGCCCCCAGGACGTTTCACACTGATTTGAACAGATCCCTGGGAGAGACCATAAAAAAAATGCATCTCTTCTGCCCCAGTGAGATAATCTCACTGATTTAAGAAGACTTTTCCCCTCTGTAACGCAGCCACCATTTGGTTTCACACATGCTCCCTTGTCTGAAAGACGAGCGCCTGCTGTTTGGGGTAATGGTGCTGGTCTCTTTTCAGTGGTGGCCACTGACAGAACTAGAGGTAATGGCCACAAACTGAAGCACCAAAAGTTCCACAGGAACTTAAGGAAAAAATTTTTAACAGTGAGGGTGACAGAGCCCTGGAACAGGCTGCCCAGAGAGGTTGTGGAGTCTCCTTCTCTGGAGATCTTCAAAACCCGCTTGGACGCAGTCCTGTGCCACGTGCTTTAGGTGTCCCTGCGTATGCAGGGGGGTTGAACTAGATGACCTCCAGAGGTCCCTTCCAACTTTAAGCATTCTATGATTCTATGATAATGCTCTGACCCTGCACTTTGGAAGACGGTTTCTTGTGACGTGGGAGTCACTGATCTGCTCTCTTGGTGTTTAACAGCTCACACAGATTCTCTAGCAGAGATTCGAGCAGAGATAAAGAAAGTGTTAAAGTCCAAAAAGCTGAACAGCACCATGGTGTTAAACCTCAAGCCCAAGGAACCTTTTCTTGGAGGCCATGAAACCATAACACTTTCAGTGCTCCTGAACCTGACAAGCTCTGATGCTGATCTCAATAAGACGAATGATCTCATGTCCAGAAGGAATTCCCTTTTCCCTCAGCTCCTCTTTCAGCAGAGAGCTGATGCTGACGCTGCATGGCATTCAGCACATGGACTGGAGCAGTGCAAGTGATATGAAGAAACTCTATTTCCTGGCCAAAGTGCTAGAGGCTGAGCTTGAGAAGAAGATGCCCAAGGCTAAAAACATCACGACTGCGAAGAACATCCTCTCTCTCCCACTGATGCTGGCCAAGCAGAGCCGCGCGGTGCGTGGGGCCCCGGCAGAGGGACAAGACAGGACGGCAGCACAGTGGGATGCAGACTTGCAGCACGCGCCGTTAAATCTGTGGGAAGTAGCTGAGAGGCTAAACCCCGCTGACACATTCTTCAGACATCACAGCATGTCCGGGCCTTCTTCAAAGCATCCTCTTTCGTACTCGCCAGCCGAGGCCTCTCATTTGTCCAGGTCTTTTAAGGATCAAAACTACCCTTGGGCTATGGAAGAGGCCAAAAATCCTCATGAGCTGGAGGATGGAGAGGATGACAAGGAAGCACCACCTCCGAGCCATAGCTACGTGTGGACCTACAAAAGGAAGGGTCAGCAAGAGAGTCCATGTCAGAGAAGTGATCAGCTTTTCTACAGGCCAGACCATGAAGAGAGCCCAGAGGAGGAGCCCACGCCAACCCCGACTAAACCAGAGCAAAGACCAAACTCAGCAGGACAGTTTTTCTATAACCTGTTGGTTACCAGCAGCCACCCTGTTGCAACGAGTGCACTGGAGAACAAGCCCAAAGACAAGACTTCCTCTCCAGGTGGGCACTCGCTGGGCACCCAGCCCACTGACGAGACCCGTTGGAAGCATCCAGAGGAGGAAGAGTCTCATTTCCCCAGTGAGCCAAGCAGCTCGGAGAGCCCCGCGGCCACGCCGGCTCAGGACGACCTCTTTGAAGCCAAGCTCAGACACCAGCTGCGCTTGCTCGTGCCCAACAAGGCCATGCGGGCGTTCGTGGTGCACGCGGCGCGCGCCCTGCATTCCCAATGCGGCCTCCCCGCGGCCCAGCTGGCCTGCGCAAAGATGGTCTCCAAGCTGGGGCTGCTCATGAAGGTGCTCAGCGACAAGCAGGGTGGCCGGGGAGCTTCTACTCTCGCAGGTCGGTGCTTTCCGGACGGGGACATTCCCAACGGCACGGCACGGCCCAAGGTGGCAGGCGGGAAGCTCACGGGGAAGGTAGGATGAACATAGGCTGTTGCTGGGGACCAGGGGGGCACGGAAGAAATAACCATGTCTCCCTCCCTGAATTTCCCTTCTTCTGATCCAGAAGAAATCGGAGTTTGCCAGCGACAACAGGCTCCTGCTAGCAGTATCGGTGTCTCTGGCCATCATACTCTTCCTCACTGTGATTTGCCTTATTGAGGTACGCCGGCGCTCCCTCCAGACAGTGCTGCCTCCCTGTGCAGTCTGTGACACCAGGGTGTCACCAGGGATGTCTGCACACCTGCCACATAGCTCATAAGGTTGTTTTCCGACCTTTGAAGGTTGGAAAAATCAGCACACAGCTCAGCATAGGCCCAGGCTTGTCCCTGCATCCGTCACGAGGTGCGCAGGGCTCTCTTAATCGCGGCCACCGCTCTCCCACCGGCTCCCCGGCGCTTCAAGGGCGCCAGCGCTCTTTGTCACCACAGTCTGAGTTTTACGCTGTGGTCCTTGCTGTGCATCCCCCTGCACATCTGTCCCAGGCCCTTCTGCGGTGGCTGCTCTGCTCTCCTGCCCTTGCCGCATGCTTAGCCATGCAGCAATTCCCCCGCTACATTCATGCTTGCTAAAACCAAGCTTTTTTTTTGGCAAAATGGCAGATGCTGGAAGGCTTTTCTGGCCACTAGCAGCTCTGGGGCTGGCGGGAATCCCTCCTAAGAAAGATGCTGCCCCTTTCAGCAAGGTGCAGCGGCTCCGCGTGGGTCAGAGCGCCCTTGCCAAAAGCTCTTGTTCCTTTAAAAAACAGCCTTGGTGACTTGGATCAGCTTGAACACGGGAGGCAGTGCCCTGCACAGCACTGCCCGGATAAGAAAGGCAGACATAAACACTTCGGAGATTAGGAGTTCAGGTCATTTCTAAGGCAGGGAATGCCGGGAATTGAGAAGGGAGGATGGGCTCTTTCTAAAAGATTTTTGCTTCTGGCACAGGCTGTCACATATATATAACACGCTTGGTTTAAGGAACAACCTTTTGGCCTCCCCCATTGGTTTTTTCTGTGGCATATGAGGAGAAAACACTGATGTAACAAGGCTCTCTGTCTCTCTCCTTGACCAGGTTTGCTCCCAAAAATCTGCAGCTGCTTCCCAAGCCCAGGGCACCAGCAAATCACGACTGAGACGGTAATTACTCCCACTGCAGGGCCAGGCTTTGCTTCGCACAGTGCCTAATCCCGGAGCCCCACGCGTACTTCAGCACGGGCTGCAGAGGAGTCAGTAGTCTCCAGAGTGAATATGTTCATGTAGCTTTTCTTAATGGACCTAAAAAAGGGCCCCCAAAGCATGAGTGAGCAGCACTGCTATAAGCAAATGCCTTCACTTCTTGATGGGAAGTTCATCTTCATCAGGACCTAAAGAAACTACCCCAAGTGGGGCAAAGGTTTCTGCCCCCGACACCTGCTGGGGACATTCCCAGCCAAGCATCCTCACCCCCTAAATCCAGTTTCCCAGCACTGTGGATACTGGTGGCCTGACCCTAAACCCTGTCCTGAGCAGGGGGACGCCAGCAAGGCCACATGCGGGTGACCTTCACCAGTCTACCATTTTCTCACTCTTTGCTTAAGGTTCTTCCAGAAATTCCTGCCAGAGAGACGGAGCAGGAGCACCCGTGACAGTGCGAAGGAGGTAAGGGCAGCAGGAACGTGGGACGCTGCTCCTCACTGCGCGCCCCGCCACCCCGCGTCCGCGACGCCCCCTCGCCCGGTGCTTTGCAGGGCTCTCCTGGCTCGGATCCGAGCGGGAACAAACCGCCCTGGCTCCGTGACATGTACCAGCCGCTGGACTCCCAGCGGAAGAGATCCCTGGCTCAGAAGCTCTACGACGAGGAGTCCTCGGACGAGGAGGAGATTTTCAACAAGGCCGAGCTGAAGTAAGAGGTGAGGGGAGGGCACCCAAGTTGGGTGTCATTGCTCCCCAGCCGGGGTGCCCGAGCGGCACCTGGGGGTGTCCCCTCCTGTCCCCTGCAGCCCCCAGGCCGTTCTCCTCTCCTCTTCTCCCTAGGAGGCTGGAGGAGCAGCTGGGCCAGGAGGAGCCGGAGTGACGCCGGGCGCCACTGCACACCGGGGCTGTACATAGTTGTGCGAGACACCGCGGAAGGTTGGGGATTTACGATTAAAATTAGTGCTTGCTTTCACCCAGCGTGAGCGTCCTGTGAGCACAGGCACAGGCGCAACGCGCGTGCGGGGGCTGCGGGAGCACATGCGCATGCGGCAGCGACCGGAGGGGCCAAGTGTGCAAAGGAGCCGCTCGCCACGCGGGGACGCGCCGCGGGCTGTGTGCTGGTGCCCCTGCACATGTGTTTGCACACCCACGGGCGCTTGAGTGTGTGTCAGCTCGGGCATGCGTGTGCACTTGCACACCCGTGTGCATGTGTGTGTGTACATGTATGGACATACACGTGTGTGCATGCACATGTGTGTGTGCACAGGTGTGCGTGCCCGTGCACGTGTGTGTACATGCACAGACATGCACGTGTGTGTGTGTGCACAGCTGTGCGTGCGCGTGCACGGCCACTTGTGCAAGCCCATGTGCGCATGCGTACATGGGTGCCCGGGTGCTCACTGGTGCGCACGCGCGCCCGGCGCTCCTCCCCCCGCCCCCAGGGGCGTGGCCTCCCAGCCCC